GGACGAACGGAGCGACGAAAAGGAAGAAAAAGGAGAGGATGAAGAACGATGGCAGCGAATAGATGCGGCTCGGCCGCGTTGAGAGGTGAAAAAAGCGAGAAAACGGACGGGTAACAAAAGGGAGGAAGAGCAGGATGTATGCGCTCGCAGGCGAAGAGCGCGTTGTTTGTGGCTATCCTCGCGCGGATAGGGTGGCTGTGCGGGGGAGGAAACGGTACCAGGGGCGGAGGACGAGCGCCGTGATTACCCCAGGCTATTTCTTGGGCCCACCGACCGACCAAGGTCCGATCCCGGGTCAGATCCGCTCGCTATGGGAAAACGCTAAACGATCGGCTCACATCACTCAGATTCCTGCTCTGCTTTTGGTACACGTGCACACGTACGTGTGTGTCTTACGTGACTGGCTTTACACAACCGCGATTATGTAGACGGGTGAACCCATGCCCAATTTGTGACCCCAAACTTGCTACAATGTTCCTTTCTCGAAGAACTCGAGGTTAGCGCTCTGTGGTACTTCACGTGATATAGAGATTAATGTTTTGAAGGCGTTTCGAGAGGAGAAGAGAGACGATATTATCTACTAATTTATTCTTTGAAATAAGTAATTATTTTTGAAATTGTTTATCGAAAGTCGTTGAGCTGAATTCAAGGTAATTTTCGATCAGCGAATTCACTCTATTCGGGAACCTGAGGTTAATCTAATTTTCTATATAGATTTGAGAAAAAATAAACATGACCTCTAAATACACATTTCTCCCGATCGACAATTTAATTCCAGTCCAGGTGGTTCGCCAGAAGCCATCCTGTTTGAGGGGGTCCCGCGAGGTTCGAGTCGCACATCCTGCCACCCTTCTTCCGTTCTTCCTCGTCCAGTGTATATCTCTCGGACACCAATCGTCGCTCCCTTTGTATTTTCCATAGTACTTCCGCGACAAAGCCTGCTCGAGCAGGAAATCAGGTTGGTATCAGGTTCCAGAACGACTAATATTTGATACCGTGTTTTTACAGCGCAGTTTTCGAAACGAGATTCGTAGAATTTTCATTTTCTCGGTCTACCAGCGCTTTCTTCGTCCGCTGCCGAGATTCGCGGCATCGAAAAGAGCGAAAGAGAAAGAGGGACCGTGATATTATCCTCTTCGTCTGTGTACACGTATAGCGTCGTACCTACCCCGCGGTGTATTCCCTTTCTCTCCCACCCCGTTGAAGTCAGATCGCCCACGGGCTCCACGAGGCCGTCGTTATTATATGTTATCGCCGTGGAAGGTATGGGAACCGGCCCGAGGGGGCACCGGATACCTACGTCGGTATTTCCCCCTCGTTGTGCCATAACGCACCGTCGAGGTACACGAAGAGAACCCCGAGTTCTCCGGGGCTCTTGTTCTCTCCTTCTCCGAGCTCGATTCTCCCGGCGGCCTTCCTCTTTAGCGCCCCCGTCCTCTCTATCTTTCTCTCTCTGTCCTCCTCGTCCTTTTTCCAGGCCACTCGTCTATTATATGCTAAATTACGACGACCTTCGGCCGCGCAGCGCGAAACGTGCCGGCTGGTATCGAAAAATGCATCGATGTATCCTCCTCTCCTCGCTATTGACACGATCAGCGCAGGAGTTCGCGATCGGCTCGAAGAATGATAATTTGGTGTCGAGGAACTTCGTTATAAATTTAGTGTTGGACAAGTTAACACGTTGACTGCCAGGACAATACTCTCGACAATTTCTACTGTGATTAAATTTTTTTTGCAGCCTTCTGAAAACTACGTAATCAAACATTTATTGTGGTATTTATATTTGTAACTTCATCGAAATTCAAGGATTTCGTTAAAATTTATTTTCTTTCACACTCAACATTCAGAATGAACTTTTTTAGTTCTCCAGCAAAAAGCACTGTCGCCCATATATGGGTGACGTGGCGATTAATGTGTTGAAGAAGGAGTGGCACTGTGAAATTTTTAAGTTAAGAAACGTTTCAAAAATTAGCCACGGACTTCAAATGTGGGGACACTGGGAACCCTTAAGTTTAAACTTCAACTGAGGAACATCATGGCGTTTCTTTATTTCGAATATGCACTTTTGCTACGAACACCAACGTTAACCCAATGTTTATGTCTCTGTGAGATCTCTTTTCGTCCATTTAAATCTTCCATAAAGCATAACGAAAATTTGAGAACATTTCATCGTACGGTTTCTTTACAAAGAATTCCTGAAAATACCTCTCTTCTTATCAAATTTAATCGAGCCAACAACGTCTCTATCTTATCGTGTGTCTGCCTTCTATTATACCACTAAAATTTGATCCACTTTCAGGGAACCCCTGATCGCCTACCCACAAACGTATTTTGCAGTTCGAACGAGCGCGAATCGTATCGCGTCTTTCATTCCCCGTCGCGGCTAGGATTAATTCACGCATGTTGGCGTCAATTTATTGCGAGATTAATCTCGTGACGAAACTCATCGCAACAGCTATGCATCGCGGTTGCAACGCTCGCTGTCTCTGTGTCATTATATATCGAGATGCAATTCTCAGATACGACGTATCGAGTGCGAGACTAGTCGAGCTCTCGGTCGGCGACGCAACGCGCTCGAAAATGTCACGGGGACTTTCTAAAGGAGCCGGAAAAGGTGGCGCGATCCGACGTCGACTATTTAGATTTACATATCCGTATCCGCTGCATCGATGCTTTTTAATCCTCGAAAGATTTTATTTGACCCGGAGGCAACTGATAAACCAGTACTATTTTATTTGATTGGCCCACAACTGGAAGCTTCTCGACTATTTGTAATCTATTTTGCTTTTTCACTTTCTGCTTTGTTTAATTGTACGAATCTGACGCATATTGTCATGCAAATATGAGTGAGTCAGTGAGGAAGTTCTACTTATAAGGGTGCAAAGTTGAATAACTTGACTATATCACTTATTGTACCAGTTTTACATTTGTTCATTCTTTATATTCATGTAATTCTTGCTTTATATAACTTTGTATTTGCATTTACTTTCAACCATCTCTTCATAATTCTCTCATTAGGTATGCCAGTAGTCTATCGGGGCCCACTGGCCCCCCTATAGCTCGGGTACCTCGGGGTTGCTAAACCCGTACTGTAGCTGCAATCAAACATAGCTACAGCCCCTGAGGGCAAATGCAAATACGATAATGCGTTATGTAATGCATTGTTTCTTAAACGTTCCATCGATGATGAGACACTTTCCAGCCTTCCAAGGTGTCTAACTTCCAGTCCAAAATGTTTAACTCTTTTCTCATATGTTTCGTTTCCTTTCTTTCATTGATTTCAACAAGCTCTCCTCTCGCAACGCTTCTCCTTATTCCTCGATGCCAGTTTTTTCTCTGTCTCGTATACTTCAGAAGGCATCCGCCAGCTTTCACGAAAATGATGGCTACGTCTCTCCCAGTCCCGCGGCGTGGTAGCCGCAATAAAGAGATGAAATTCGAAGCCGGCGATGACGATAATCGATCGTTGCCACGGGATTGAGCGATCGAAATCGCGCGCGTAATAATCTCAGGCTGCGAAGGTATTTTAATATATAATAGTTACACGGTGCGCCACGATCGTATCTGCGGTTCATTTGACGTCTGGGTCATTCCTCATTAAATTGGCCGTTTCTCTCGAAGGATTTTCATGAGATTCAATTATGATGCAGTCCATGTAAAAGTAGGAGGGGTTTAAGTCATCGTTACGTGAATCTCGATATTTTTAAAAAAATACAGATCTTCGAAGTCGACTTAACCCTTTGACCAATGCGCTACCTTCCGATTGCTCGAGCCATAGTAAATAGGAAGGTAGGAAGTCTGAACAAAGTACCAAGAGTCAGATTCGTGTTTATTCTTTATGGATTTCTTACTGCGAGTCTCACTAGTGGTTGTAGACCAAAGGGTTAACTGTAAAACTTAAGAACTTTGATTGTTCTTGTTTCACTCGCAAGATCCCGTTCTTCCCAGGACTTTCTTTACCCGGCAAGGTTAAAAATTACTCTTTATATCTCGTACGAGTAGGAGACACTGCTCGAATATGTATTACCTGATTGGGACCGTACTTCCCGTGTGAAATTTGAAAAATATCAAAAAGCGACGCGAGCAGGTGAGAACCCCCTACTTAGATCACTTTCTGGTTTACGACGAGAAACTGCCATTTTCTTTCAGACACACTGAACTGTTCTCTGAAGAAATCACCATTACATTTTCATTGATTCGATAAAATAATAAGTCGAGGGCCCGTCGCATCGATACCCTTTACTTAGCGGCGCAACGATCCATGACAAAACGGCGCATTTACGACGTGACGTTAATCGTCCCGGTGTGTCGGTGATCGTCAATTAAAGCGAACCGTGGACGCGACTTCGTTAAAAATTTCAGAACTGCGACAGCTGCGGCACCCTTGAGCCGAGGCGTCGTCTTTAACTGGGAGCGATTTTGGCAGGTGGCCATCGGCACCTGCCCATCTCAACGAGAACCTCGTCAATTCGAAAGCGTAATTTATATGTCGCTACACGGAATATTCGATCCTCCGGGAAACAACTTGGTGATTCATCGTTGCCAGTCGACCAACGAGATTTAAGACGATACGAAATGCCACGGGCCGTACAAGCTCGCGAACAACGTTCCTTCGCTCAGAGATGTAAGAATTATTAATGGAACTATAAACGCGAAATTATTGTACGCGTGTCTTGCTTCATTTGGGTAACTTATGTGAACGTGTTGAGGAAATCAACAACTCCAACTGCGAAAGGAATAAGAAAACAATGATTTATTGAATGGAGGCCTTCGGTTTAACGTTGTATTAGATACCCCTTATGAGTTGGTAACTCATTATGACGTTCTGTTGTTTGTTTTTGTTTGCTCTTGGTAAATTTATAGTGAAGATATCCTTCTGAGAAGGAGCACTATTTACTATTCTTAGAGGATACTAGCGTTAATTCTTAAGAAAACAATGATCTTCTTTGTTCTTGATTAACTTGTTCAAGATGTTAAGTTTTTAATTGTTTTTTTCGCAGATATCCGGAATCGAGGTTAGCAAAATTGTTCAATGGCAGCATCCCCATCGTTCTAGACTCCCTGAAGCAGCACTATTTCATCGACAGGGACGGAGGGATGTTCAGACACATACTGAATTTTATGAGGAACTCCCGTCTCCTTATACCGGAGAACTTTGCCGATTTGGATCTGCTGCTGGAAGAAGCGCGGTACTTCGACATTGCACGTAAGAGAATTTCTTTTCTTTTTCTCGATCTATTTTGTCCAAAAATGATCATTCGTACACTTCTCTGTGAATTGTAGAACATTTTTTAATTAACAAGATCTTACAGATGAAGAATAATCTTATTTTGACAATTCAAAATTTCTTGAACTTTTTGTAATTAATTTTACGAAAGCATACCGTTAAATTGAACAAAAGACGTTATCCAGAAAAGCCGTTATTATTTAATCTCGGACGAAAATCTGAACGGTTGCTGGACACCGTGCGCCAGACAGACAACTTCCTTGGCTTCTGTAGCCAGGCGAAAGATCACCGTGCAAAGTCGATAAATCGTGCTATCTGAGCGCCGGAATCTCTCCTTGGATCATTTTTCCTGCCATTAACCGGCAATACCAGCAGCTCAGGAAATTCATATTATACCGCATTAAACGCCAATATCTCGATAACGGGGAATCATAACAAACGCTTTCGTAGTCGTGGAATTGCAATAACTGTTGTATCGTTCGATCTCGTTAAATCAACATACCCCACTTTCTCTGGACGTTCCGAAGATAATTTTTCAATTTAGGGATAAACACGTTGAGTGGCTTAACTAATGTTATACTTTTCATTGCTATTTAAGGTACTCGGTCCCCGAAGTATACAGTAAACATAGTTTGCCTTTGAGGTACGGATATGCAAAAGATGCGCACTTGTGCTAAATAAATTGTTGGTATTATTATGTTAATTTATGAAATATTTATCTGCGTATGTTGTGGATGTATGAGTGAAGGAAATAATTCTTCGTGAAGTAATTAATCGAAGTTTTAGAATAACTTTTTAAAGATCGACTTTGTTTTACGAGGGCTCAAATATTTGAACCGTTTGATTTTTTTTCGAGTAATTCGCATTTTTTTCGAACAGTCCGTCGATTTCAAGTAGTTTGGAAATTCAAACGCTCGACTCGACTCGAACAATCAAGTCGAGTTCAAGCGTGGTAAAGGCCTAATGCAAGTAGAAACAGCGAGTCGTGGACAGACACGGTAGCTTAGCTCACGACGTTCCCAAACTATGCAACTAGCCCAAAATACAATCCAACGATCCTCTGTTGCAGCCATGTGCAGGCAGCTGGAGCAGATGAAGAAGGAGCGCATAAAAAACGGCTCGACGACGACGACGACGACGATGTCCTCGTCCTCGCCGAGTCCACCGCCGTCCAACCAACTGGGTAGCCGCGGAACGGGGTGCACGACGGTGCCCTGCAACCGGGACACCGACAAGCTTCGCAACAACGACGGAAACTGTAACTACGAGTGCGTCGCCCTCCACGTCAGCCCAGATTTAGGCGAACGAGTGATGCTGTCGGGAGGTCGAGCGCTGCTCGACGAGGTGTTCCCAGAAACTACCCAAGCTGTGATCGACGCTAGGTCAGGAGTCGCCTGGCACCAACAGGATGCCCGTCACGTGATCAGGTTCCCATTGAACGGATACTGCAAGCTGAACTCCGTCCAGGCCATCGCAAGGCTTCTGAACGCTGGTTTCCGCGTGGTGGCCAGCAACGGCGGCGGCGTCGAGGGACAACAGTTCTCGGAGTACCTGTTCGTCCGACAAGCCGTCAACACCTGACGGAGCACTGCGCACCAGCGCAAAACGAGCTCGAGGACGGTTCGTTGCATCCAACGCGACCACGACCCCGAGTGAGTTGTCCAGGAGAAGACTCGTCAAGACTGCGTCACGGGCTAATGATTCGATCGTTTCTGGCGACGATACTGAGCTTTCGGGGATCGTTTGACTGATGTCGCAATTGTGCGCTTGTTCTCGTTCCCCAGGTCGAGACAGGTGATAGAGGGGACTGTATCTTATGAATGAGTTCGAGGAAGGAAAAAGAATTGTTTGACTGAATGGTTTGGGGATCATTCCTTGTAGGAAAAATATGTTGCATTGTTTGATCCTTTTGATAATCTTACGACAGAGTAGAAGGAAACTATATTGTTAATATAATTTTCCCATGGTTTTACACTACTGATATTTGAATTTTTTTTTAACCAGTCGGCTGTGGCGTCCTCTTTTTAGAGGGCGCATCTATGTGTATCGTGAGAATCAAGCTACGATAGGTATAGTCGTCAAACACAGAGTAATATTGGATCGCAAAGATAGCTGTGTATCAGGTCGTCCCAAAAATGCATGCCACTTATGTTTCTGCTACTGAAATTAATATGTGAAACATACTCTTAAGTAACCAATGGTAAATCAATTTTACGCATGACGAGTATAATCGTCAATCACAGATGACTGATTAAGAAAACTATTAAACATATCAGTTTGACATTTATTACATACATTTATGCATGTTTCGTGAATGTACGTAAATTTGGTCAAGTATCATTATTCGTTTTTGTTGGATACCTGGTTGATTCACTGACGGAACGACTAGATTAAATAACCATCGCGTTCTTAGGAGGCATTCAAGATCGCCTGGAACTCATTTTATAAATAATGCACGTAACACGGTCAAACTTCCCTCGATTCAGGTTTCCGGCGAATCGAATGCCTAAACGTTTCTCGTTACCGGAAGTTCGAGCGTACGGTAACGCAGAGCTGGAATTTGCGAAGTCTGTAATTCGCGATGACGAAATTACCGTTAAAATTGTTTCAATATCTCGGCGAATATTGGGTTTGGTAACGAAATCGTCGCAGTTACATGTCGTCGAACGGTATCATTACGCACGCACGTGACCCACTTATGCTTAAGAACCTCGGGTGCGCCGGTCCTCGCGTTGATCTTATTTAATAAGGTGTACCTATATGTATTTAAATGCCATACTAATTACTGTAAATACCGCGAATCAACGTGTATCTATATATATATATACATATTATATATATATAAATATAAATATTCTATGTACTTTATTGCCGAAACTTGGACGCGGGAACGCTCGACAACGAAATTAATTCGCGTTGATCTCATCGATTTGTCGACCTCATCTCTTCAAGGACGAATTTATCAAGATTGAAGAAAAATTATTTAATTGGACTCGTTGTAAACGTTGATAAAGTGTTTACGCCAGAATGGGAATTGAAAAAAAAAACACTAAACGTAGATGTATCCTTGAAGAAATTGAACTCCCGTCTCCATAGTATTGGCGAATCAAACACGAGAGGATCGATCGAAGAGCACCAATGATCGAGTTTATCGATAGATTATCCCGAGTGATCGAGACTTTGTCGAAGTCTCGCGTGACTTCCGGCTCGGTTGTTTCGGTTATATTATGATTTACACGGAGAAGAATAGTTTCTAATCGACAGAACACTTACTGCGATAAATACCGTTTCGATTGATTTAATAAAATGTTTATTACTGGAAACCCTATCACCACTCATCATTTATTATCACCTTAAAGATGAAAAGAAAAAACGCTAACGTTACTCTGTGCTGCAACTACTCACACATTTGAAAATTCAATGAACTGAATTCAAAGTGGACTTTCAGAAAAAATTTGCCGACACGCCTTAGGCGATTAACATTGAATTTTTGTATTAACGGGCAAAACGACGCTGAATAAAGGCTACGGTTGAATACTGTTCCGGAAACGTGCAAAGCGACTCGCGATACGAGGGGGGGGGGGGGAAGCAACGAGTGTTCGCCGTGGAGCGGCTCTGTTCGGTTAAGTCTCGAGAATAAAAATAAAATCTGCCGTGCAACCAGACGGAATGAAATCATTAGTCGGACAATGCAGTTTCCGCGGCTTTCCTGCATAAAAATTTGATAGGCTTTAAACGGGTTACGTGATATCTGCTTTTGACTTTTCCCAACACCCGCGTCCAAACCCGTGCACCCAGCGACGTTTGGCTCCAATGAGTTTCGTAATCGCATATTTCTGCCGTATAATTGCGGGGAGTTCGTTATCTCTCAGAACGCGGGCGAAAAAGGAATTAAAAAAAGAAGAAACCTAAAGAAAAAACTAGTTTTTCAATTTACGTCCTTTCATCCGCGCTCAAACGTAAAGAATAAATTTCGCGTAATTCACTCTTAATTATTTTCCGCGCTTGAAAGTAAATTAATTTCGCGAACCTTTGTTTCCACGATTTTCTTACTAAAGGCAGGGTTTTGTAAGAAAATAATCGATTTGGAGGAAGAGTTACAGGGTTGAAAATGACTCGAGAAGACAGAGTCGAAGAAATTTTACAACCCCTTAACTAACAAAAGATTTGTCTAGCCCTACATGAAAATGTAGAGGAAGTGGAGTATCATGGCGAAAGAAGAAGAGGGATACGAGGAGAAGATAGAAGAGGTAGGAGGGTTTTCAGGGTGGAGAAGGAAAGGAAAGAGGAGGAGGAGTAGGAGAGAGCAAAAGAGCTCGGAACCGCGTTGATCACGTAACCGCGGGAATAAGGGATAAAGCGCACAAACGTCATTGCCTCGGGCCCTGTTTCCATGGTTACCGTGAACTCAATATCCGCGACGCCTGAGGGTAGCATGGGCCGCGGGCTGTCATCCCTCGAACCTGCTGAGCGGAGAACCGACGCTCCACCCTGCTATGTTCCTTTTCTCTCTCACTCTCTGCACTTTCCTACCTTATTGTTTCCGTCATATTCCTCATGACCGTCTTATTCTTTCCGCAATTCCCTTGTTTCCTCACCCGATAATTCTCTTTTCTTCAGAGATTTGCTTCTAAAATTGAATACAAAAAATTTAAATGACACATCGTGTGCTCGTACATTAGAAACATAATAATATAAATTGTGCAGAAGAAAAAATAGCGAAAGGACTTACAATATATAGCGAAAACAAAATATAAAAAAACGCGGAAAGTATTACAAGGAAATATCAACAAAGCTTTGATCAATAATCGCGATTCATTTTAGTTTCTTCAGAATTACCATTACCCACTCAAGATCCAGTGTATTTAAAATCACTTCATAACGAGCGGGTTCAATTCTCTCTTCCCTTCCACGACGAGAGTTCTCCGAAACCTCTGCATCTCCCACATCCCCGTGGTTCCTTCATCGTGGCTAACCCCTTCTGGCGCTCTCCATGGTTTTCCGTCTTCTTCGTCTCTGTCCTCTCCGGTTCCTCCTCGTCGCGAAAACCCTCCATCCTCCTCTGGCTTCCTATTGGACATTTTACCAGCCGCCTCTCGACGCGTTCTCCATCTCCGTCGAGCTCTGGCTTGATTATATTCCATTTCTGGATCGCCTCAGGGTCGCCTCAGTCCCGGGTCCTTCAATACACGACACCGGGCGAAGTAGCCTCTGGCTTCAAGGAAGACGAGCTTGAAATTTCGAGGATACCCCGAAACGCCACTATTGTCTGCGCGAAAAACTCCACGGGAGAATTTCCAATCTTTTTCGCGATGTCCATCCTGGTATCGGTACGTTCTTCTAACAATCCAGCCTCGCTAAATCAATAACACAATGATTTTCAAGGAATTAAATCCTTCGTAAAGGCTTAAGGTTTACAATATTCGTTAACATAAGTGAACTGTGGACGTTCATGCACAGTACGTGTATTAAACACAGTTGTTCGCTTTAATCGCAGAGGAAGAAATATCAATAAGTAGGCATGATTCGCGAAGAAAAAGATTGCTTCAATTTTTACAATCCCGATAGCACTCTAATATCGAAGCGAACACTTCGTTACTAGCTAAAGAATTTCTTTAAATAGAACATTGCTTTTTGTATTTTTCCAAGTACCGTCTGGAACGGTGGCCAAGGTGATACGTAATCATGGCAGAATACTATTCAAGGTATTATTACATAATCGATTTTCTAAAACGTCCTTGTATTTCAATCTCAGCTGTAAATATCAGTCAAACAGTTGCATGCGGAAACACTTGCGTTACATAAATTATTCGGTTGATACTAAAGTTGTTACAGTTCGAGAATTTCCAAAAAGTAAATAACGGAGGACATTATAGAATCGAAGACATACATTGCGAATTGTTTTGTAGGTACTCTATTACTTTATAAACAATTAACCTTATTTTTTAAAGTTTTAAACTATTACAGTTTGTATTGTAGGTTCCTAGTGTTTTCACTCAAATGAAGTGCTCCCAGGCGATGTCGAGACAGGTCGTCAGTGAAACATAAATTGATTAACGTATTAATTTATACGAAAAAGACTCTTAAACTACTCAACAGTATCTACAAATGCTCTTCATGAACTTTTTAATTAAATATAAAGAAATTCTAATTTTCCGCAGGAAATTACTGTTGCTATCTAGCGGTGACATACTGAACTATTTTCAGAGTATGATCAACGTATTATTAGGGGAAACGTCCAAGTTTCTCCTCGAGTAGTTTCGTTTCTTACTGATAGATGACGCCATTCACATAATACTTGTGGCGATCACCTGGTAAGCGGTTACTTCTTTATCGACTTAGCAGTGGATTATCACCTGAACTTTGACGCTTTGTGAACCGTATCTTCTTTATCGATCCAGAAGAGGATTTCATTTACCGTCTTCTGTTCCGTTTCTATTTTTGAATTGCTGTTTGATTTTGGAACTCCAGAGGTCACTTACATTCATACTGTGTGAGGATCGACCTTTACGACTCTCCGAGGAGTGGAGAGAAACAATTGACGCGCGGGAGAATCGAACGTGCGTAAAAATATTCGAAGAGACGAAATTGAGACGTGAAACGATCTACTAACAGAAATAAAGTTTTGTTGTGTTTATTATTGATTCGTCCAGAGTGCTGAGCGCCCACAGCTGCTGCTTCTTCTTCTTTATCATATATTCTTTGTGGGAGGCATTTCGTCCTAGGTCTGCTAGTGGGTTCATCAGTAAAGCTATACCAGGACCGACCAGCTCTACTCTTATGAACTTGAAGCCTATTTGAATTCGCGCCCGGCGCTATCGGCGACGCTAGTGTCACTTCTTTACGTACTATTGAGTTCATATTCTGTGTAAGTTTATTCTATCGTGTATGCGCCCGGCAGTAACTTGTTTGTATGTTTTCAGTTTGCAAGTAAATATGTATGCACGTGCGTGTGTGTATGTGGAGTGTAATGTATAAAATGCGTGTAAGTAGAGTTTATTGTATAGATTTTATATAAATATATACGAGATATAAGCATTTAAAGACAGCGAGAATCATGGTTCTACGATTCTCGCTGAATTCAAATGTTTATACTTTATTATAATTGTGTACATAATTATCATTTCAGTAGTATATAATTCACGAGAAAGATTGTGACGGTATTTTTTGTACATACAAGTATAAATAAATAATAAACTATATAATGTACATAAGGAAGAACTTTTGCTTACATTACATCATTTACGAACCGCATCTTCCTTCTCTTTATCATTCTTTCTTTCGAAACATTCTTTGTCCTCCTTTTTTTTCCTTCCATAATTTTTTTATTCAGATTAATTTGAAAGCAAGTATAAATACTACATGTATAGAACCCATCCTGTTGTTTGCGCACGTGTGTATGTCACTGATTACATGGTATGTGGTTGTGATGACACTGGGCGCCGTCGGTAGCGCCGGGCGAGAATTAAAACGGGCTTCAACGCGAAATATGGTATAGCATGATTAGACGCCTCTGTATGTTTGGAGACTAACCGGACTTATATACGAATGCAACATCTAACTGCTTGCGATAAATGCGCGGTTGTCCCTTCTAGTTGCTGGCCGCTGGTTGGACATAAACATGAATATCGAGTGTTCCAGCCAATGAAATCGATTGAAACTGTAATAAACTGTTAAATTTAGTTAGTTGCACTAGTTCCGTTGATAGAGATGGAGCCACAAACCTCAAAATTTTGGCGGTAATTTTAAAATGCATTGCGGGGTGAATATTACAATGTAGTTGATAACGATTCTATCCAAAGCGTGTGCATATAACAAGAAATCGTAAATATGGGTCATTTTCAAATTTGCATAGTAGAATTTACTTTGCGAAAAGTTTTTTGAATTTTTAAAAATACAAAAAAAAAGTATTCCTAAACTCGAAGTTGTCATTTATATATGTTTATCAGATTAAACCGTGTAACAAAGAAATGAGTAAATAGGCTTTACGATCTTCGCCAACTTCTTACATAAACGCTCTATTGTACGTTGTTTTTTCACATGAAGCATGCGCCGCGCATTCGAAGTAACGTGTAGTTATTTTGCAGACGGTGCTTCGAATAACAATGACCATTCGAGGTACACGGAACGGACTCAACTAAATGTCCGTAACATTCCTACTATACGAAGCGTAACATAGTTTCGTCAAACACTGCAAATAAATGTTTGTTACTGTAAGAGTCTAAACGAAAAATAAGGCACGGGAATTCGAACCCACGACTCTCGTATACACAGTCAAACGCAGTCAATCCCGTACCCTACATTTCGTATACTCGTTTGACTCCTTAGTGATGGGTATGGAAGACGCGGATACTACACTCGACCATCTTGAATTTACATTCGCCCTCGAATGTTCGTCTTTTCGATTTCTGTGTCTCAATGATATGCACATCCGTCAAACTGATCGGCTCTGCCAATAGGAAAATCGATTACAAGGTATAGCTTACACTTTTAGCAATTATAACCTGTTACTGCTTCAAAACAAAAGGACGACTATCATTTATTTGAATTTCAATATCTTATTGGCCGAGACGGTCAATTTGACTCATGCGCATATCATTCGGTGTAGGGTTAGAAAGAGAGGGAAATATATAAGTAGCACAGAACGCGTAGCCATATAGTAGTATTACATATATGCCTGTCAACACGATCAACACGTCACGATACCGTCGTTCGTTTGTCATCGTTGTTCGTCGTCACTGAACGATTCTCTTCGGTGTAGTCGCCACTGCAACCCTCCATCCCGGCTAAGCCACCAAATTGTGGAATTAAACTTTAGGAGTTGAAAGAAACGGTTAGTGATCCAATTAAACTAATAATAAGGAAGTCTATATTTAATATGTTTAATACAATGGTTCGTTAAATACTATGTTTAGTTCGTTAAACTGATAAGTGCGTGGCAAACACGACTTTCTACGATTAACAACGACTATCGACTTTGTGCTTTCGACGACCTCTATCGACTGTCTCCTCCTTCAGCTCTCCTTCGCTTTTGTCGCCTTTGTTTTTTGGGTTTTTTTTTACAAGAAGCGTTTTCGTCGCTGGGCCTGAGAGGGGAAGCGCGTTGCAGCCCTCCAGCCTACCATAAAATCTTAGCCTACGCGTATACACACATTAAACCCTTCGCTTATCCTACATTACCGTATCAGGGTCCTTAAACTAAAAGCAGGAAAGATGTACAAATGCAGGATGACGATAGAAAAACTTATCAAATTAGAATATGAAATTTTACACCTTTCGAAATTAATTATTTACAAATATACACTACCAGCTAATAATTTCAATACACCACAGTATTTGTAATTTTTTTTCGAGGAGGACAGGGCTTGAAAACAATTGGATAAATAGTTTTCTTAAATTTTGTAGTCATTAAAATACCCACCCTTAGTACACTATCTGACAAGTTATGTATATCGAGGATTTTACAACTATATGTTGATATGATTTGAATGATTGCAGATATCCTTTACAATATTTGGTAGTTGCTTCTAGTAGTAGCTTCCGAAATACGATCGGAAAATAGTTGCGATTCACGCGCGCCAACCTGGCATACAGGGTGTCCCAAAAACGTTGAAGGTCCTTGAAACGGGTGGTTCGGGAAATGGTATGAATCAACGTTTTTCTTGGCAAAAGTCAGGAAACCCCGACCAATTAAAGCGCAAGTATGCCGAAGGTCGGAGTATCACCGTTTCTCGACCAACTAGATGGCGTGATCTTCCGATTGCTCATACGCTACCGAGGGCACTCCTCTGGCGTACTCTCGCTATGATTGGTTGCGGTTTTCTGTTAATATCCGCTGGACGACATTTTCGCTAATGAAACAGTTGTTTCAAGAACCTCCAATATTTTTTGAACACACTGTATTTCCAAGAAGCGTATATATATATTCGAATACGTATATATATTTTCGGAGCGCATTAGCACGAGTCAGTCGAGGTTCAGCGCTGTACGAGTAACGTTGTAGGGTGAGTTTTCCGTTTCGTTTAAAAATAACATCTACATCGCGTAAACATCTAGTGTCTCGAACGAGTGGATTCGCTTTAATACAGTGAGTTGTCGTGATTCGTAACTCCACGAAAATAGGTAACGTTATTTCGTATATTACTTCACGATTGTCTCCGAAGGTGAACTGTCAAATACAAGTTGATGTACTGTGATTGCGTTATTATCGAAATGAGAAGAATATCGAATATCGCGAGAGTTTAAGAAGTTCGGGCAAACTGTTGGCGATAGAGAATATCGCTTGTGCGCGTAAGACCTCGTGCAGCCCTCGATTAAGATAGCCAGCCACTGTGAATCCGGTTTGGCAAAAGTTGCGATCAATAACTCTCTGTTTAGGTTAGAGCAACTGTTACTGTTCCTCGTGTTGTGCGTGTAACTATGTCACGTGCTTTCAAAAACTGTGAATTGACCGATAACTAATTCACATCACTACTTTCGCGTGCGTCTCATAATTGAGACCGCTCGTTCGCTTGTGAACACCAATAACCCATTTACGTTCGTGAACACGTGAACACGTTTTCGATACACGAATGTCGTTCTTTCGGTTGGCACGGTCATCTCTGAATCGCAGAAGTGGAGGTATTCTGCGAAATGGGTAAATAATTCCTTTAAAAATTAATGTTTACGTCGGTAGCGGACACGCGTGTGACTTCATCAATTTCGTGGATTCGTAATTTTCGCAATTTTAACGAAAAAGTACACCGGAGGTGGATACATACCCCATAAAACAAAAATTTCGGATTTTTAACAAAAGATGAACAGCTCTTTTCATTTAAAGTGTTACGAATATCCAAACTATAATTGGCACAGTCTATTGTTTAGTGTTTCCTTCTGCGGTCGTGGGAATTCCTTGAAACGCGCGATAATTGCGTGACCGTAGTCGTAGATAACACACAAACACACATTGGTTACGGTGACTTGCTTCATATTCATCAGTATATCTACATATAAGGTCAGTCGTTTCGTACACATCGATGAACGCACGTGATACCACAATAGCTACTAAAATCCCATATTTCACTTCGTTTGTTGATAATATTTCTTTCTAAATAAATTTCTTCTTATCGTTACATCATGTTTCCGATGCTAGACATTGCAAATTGAAACGGTCTTCCCTCTCCCTTCCTCGAGTGAATCGATCACTTTTGTACGACAGATTGAAATGTATTTCTTTTTCAACGAAAGAAGGGAAAATATACATAAAATACTTCGATATAAATTCGAATACACTGACAGTTGTGATCGATATATAAAATGGACGCATCTGGTCGTATTTACTTTAACGAAGCGACTTGTTCTATTTGCAGCATTAAATATGGAGCCCTCCTCCTCGAGCCAAACGATCGGCTGCATTGGAAAGTGCAATTATAAATTAAAATGCGACCATTTAGACAAGTTGACAGATAATATAAAGAACACTCTGGAAGACAAAGAGGGCATGAAAATGTTCAAAGAATACATAAAGGAACATAACACATATAACGATTGTGTGGAGCTGTACGAAACCTGCGACGAATACCTCAAAACATGGTAAGATTACAGATGAAGTAAAATTTAATCGATCGTTGATTAATGCTATCGAATTATTTTCAGGGGAAAGAATGAGCACCAAATAAAATCTCGGATCAAGACAGTCTTGGAAAAGGTGAACAAATTGGACGTTCCTGGGTTCGACTCGGCGCTTCAAACAAGAATGAGTACATTTGAATCGAGAACCGACTGGAAGGACGAGGCGTTTCAAATTTTAGGAGATATCATACTTCATTGTTTCAATTATTTGGCGTCTATCCACGAGAGTTTCAAAAAACAGGTGGCGAAGCCGTGCTCTTCGATCGAATAACGAACAAACGAATACCTCGCTTTAATCGTAAACGTCCATTGCACAACGACTTTCATGGATGTTGTTCAAATTTACAAGAATGTCGTACAATTTTAAATTGGATTCCAATTTGTATCCATCGAAAGACTGACTAAGCGGATGTACTGAACACGATTTACGCTAATGATACTAATGTGATATGTTATTTATATTATATGTAAATAATAACTGAAGCCACATCTCTTTAGTTATTAAAAAAAAAAAAAAACAATGTTCCTTGGGGTGAATGCGTTTGTTTGAACAGAGTGCAAGCGATATGTGAGAGCGAAGAAAGAATGTCTGTGATGCTTGAGCGAACGAATGGTTAGTTTCGTAAGCTAGTCCTGTAACAGAAGTCATAGAGACCAGCCATGCGAACGTCTCCTTTTTAATAAAAGTTAATATCTTAGTACCTGAGTCTCTGTTATTCACCTGTCAGCCACTACAATATTTAATAATAAAGATGTCAGATATTGGTGTTCAAGTGTTTTTTTTTTTTTTTTTATCCATTTCCTGGGCGATTTCAGTTAATATTTTTAAATCGTTGGTTAACAAGGCGTGTGGGAAGAGAGTTATGGATGGTAAACGCACGCGGAAAGTTGTTATTTCAGTAGAGGAATACATTAGGAAGGTAGACGGTATTCGCGATATCGTAAATTCGTTGGAAGAGAGCGTGACTATTTCTCGACATTTGGAGGCTGAACGATGGCTGAGGTATTCCGTTTTGAAAGCAAAGAATAAAGTAGTGTCAGATGATCTCGAGAAAGCGAATAAACGCAATAAAAGCATGTTGAGTACGTACACGAGGTGTTAATTGCGCGATGCAGATGATGTCGATGTTATTTTCTGTTACAAATTTATTACATTTTATAGATTTATTTCGACAAAGCGTTACAGACGTTCGTCTTGGCAGTGAAATTACATTGCCAGAGTCTTTGAAAAGAGAAGTGCAGAGAACTTGGCACGAAAAGTATAGACATTTACACGTATTAATAATTCATTGAAAGAGAACCATTCTAATTCAAATGGCCCGTCAGGTACGACGCTTTGTTAGCGCAAAACGAGCAGTTAAAGAATGACATCGCGCGCGCGAATCTTCTTCTCGAAGACAAAAGGAACGAAGTACGCTTATCGAAGCCTATAAGTGTATACCTATTTCCACTTCACGGATCTGTATAATAAATTCTAGATCGACGATCTTCAGCAGAAATTATTAAGTCTCGGAGACAAGCTTATCGAGCGCAATGAAGCCGTGGAAAATATTTGCAAAAAGTATTTGAGTCTGAAAAAGCGAAAAGACGAACAGGAGATGTTGCTACGCGGTTCCATCGAAACGCTACAGGTTCGAGTAGCTGGAGAATAAGCGCGATAAACGTGTTATAGTCGGTGAAAAAATGAAACTAATAAAGTAAAAAGATTTCGTGGTAAAATTTAGGATTCATTGAAAAAAACAAATAGCGTGGCTAAAAAAGGAATGTCTGGAATGTCTTTGATTCCAAGCAAAGATACGTTGCTGGCTCGAGAAACTCGACGCAGCGATCGACTAGCCTACGAGAACTCTCTTCTGAGAGTTTTGTTGCAGGAAGCGAGACATGGGTGCAATGCCAGCGAAAGCAGCACCCTTTCCTTCGAAAGGACTAGTGATAGGAAGGACTAGGAATAATGTAAGATCAAGATAATATTAAAGGTATCGGATGGATCGTATGCAATGTGATCGCGATTGTCTAAATAACTCAGAAAGACATAATAAATGAATATTCTTCCATACAAGTATTTATTTGACACCTATTTCCTTCCCTGGAATTCATATTCCAGCGCTTATGTCAGTTTTAACGCAGCGAAAGAGTTACAAAGAAGACGACCAGGTGTACGGGTCATGTTCCCCAACGTGGGGCCAACGTTTAAGGATATTATATAATTATCTAACAGTAATAACCGGATAAAAGAGTCACGACAAATTGGATTAGGCCCGATCGATGGGTAGTGCTTCACTATAAAAAGAGCAACTCTGTCGAGAGTCGTCTTACTTGGTGCTGGACAGCATCGAGACCACTTTAGGGTTCGATTCCTCTCGATCGCCATGTAAGTCCAGTTATTTTTAGCAATTGCTTCACCGTTTGTCATCCGTATCGAAAATCATTCATAGAGCATGTTTTAATACCTCGCCGATTTTCAAGCGCCATAAATTTGCACAGTTAAAGCCGTAACGAGGATGACTTAGATAAGGAACCTCAGATAAGGATTCAACAAGTGTACAATCAAGGAGAACAATCATGAAGATCTGGCAAACGATCGTCACGATCTACACCTTCGTCTTCGCTCCGTCGATTGCCCTAGTGTTGTTATGCTCGTACCTCTATCGACGCTTGGTGGACGTCCTGTTGTGGATACAGTTTAAAGATAAATACGTTGGCCTAATGGATGGAACCGATCGAATTTGGGCCGTGGAGGATCCTCCGGCCCTCTCGGTGAACAATATCCTGTTGATTCTGGAAAAGGACGCTCGTCATTCGAACGCAAACTTTTTGGAAAGTTTTCGCGACCTGGCGAAGAATCGCATACTCGCCTCCCCATTCGAAAAGCTGCTGTATAAGAGGAGGAATAAGTTTGGCTACCATTTCTGGGAGAGGAGTGACGATATCGATCTAACTGAACGAGTCAGATGGCTGGAATATGAGCGTACGAGCTGCGACGGGTCCTGCGACAATATTTACAGCGGTCATCTGAAGAGGGTTCTCTGGAACGTTTGCAATCAGCCCCTACCCGAAGGTCACACCGCCTCGTGGGAGATTCTGATCGGAAAATGTTGCCCCAGGTCAGTGGTGGGGCAAAACATAATTCATCGTTACGAGTACCGATCGTTCTAAAGACAAGAAACAAGAATTTTTTTAAATGTCATTCGATAACGATATTTATATCATATACTTTTAAATAAATCCCAAGAAGACTCGAACGAATACAGTAATTCAATTCTTGAACATCACGCTGGTAAACAATGTGTAAAACATTAAGTTAAAAAATATGGAGCTACTTAAAACCTACAAAAATCTTAAATTACATTTAAGAAACAATAATTTAATAATTTAACAATAATTTAAGAAACAATAATTTAATCCTATTCGAGAGGAACCATCGATGATGATCCAAAATAAACACTGTTCAACTCTGTCCCAGATCGAGCCACCACTATCTGCGAAAATTGGAGGAACGTCTGACCTGCAGAATCCGTATTCCCGTGTTGTTTCGCGTTCACCATTCCCTGGGCGACGGTATGGCCCTGCTGAAGTTCTTCAGGGAGGTCATCGTCGACGGGGAACCGATTCGAGAGACGTATCTACAGCTGGAATACACGAGTTTCAGAACGAACAACGAGGGGACGGAGGAGATCGCTACGACGGTGCCCGAGATAGGAAACAGACGTTTGCAGTGGTACTTTCAAAAGGACCTGATGTCTGCTTCTATGCCGTTCATCCACTTTGTCGTCTTCTGCGATGTCGTTAAATACTTGAGGGGACAGTTTGGGCATGGATTGAAGTATCTTCTGAGCGTCACTGCGGAGGATTTGAAACGGGAAATGATAGCACTCGCGAAAAAAGAAGGAGGCAGATTGAAAGCTTTCATCTTGGTTGATGTTTGGAAAACGGTGAAGAAATGGCTGAAGATGGCGAAGATTCTCGTCGGTGTTCCCGCGTGTTTGGTTCAACAGGCTTTTCGTAGCATGGACAAAAGGTTTCTTTGGTCTTTTATTGTATAGAAGATGGTTCCGTAGAAGGTTGCGCGAGCCATCTTTTGTATTTTTATTGCAGCGCTCTCCACGGGGCAGGATTGTCGGGGGAAAAGTTAGTTTCTTACTGGTTAGAGGACGATTTCAAGAACGCCAGCGATCAGAAGCTCTTCACGAAGATTCAAAACATAAAAAGTATCACGGGTGCAAGATTCGGGGACGTGTTCCTGGCTGCTCTGTCCGCAAGTCTGCACAAGTACTTTCTTAATGTATGTAACCATCGGTTTCTCTTTTTTGGTTTTGGTAGTTCGTTTCTATCTACTCTCATCGAACAATTTGTAATTGGGCAGATGAACGAACCTACACCGAATAAATTGAGCGTTATTCTACCAACGAAACTGGAGGAGTGGAGCGAAAATTTTCCATTGCAGAATAATTTCTCGGTCGGTATATTGCCGTTATGCGTTTCCCAGATAAATGGCAAACCGTCCACAGATCCAAGAGAGAACTCGCAAATTTTGGAACGTCTCGAGGACGTTAAAAGTGCGAACGACGCACTGAGAACAAGTCCTGACTACTTGGCCAACTTTTTAGTCATGAAGTACATTTCAGCCGTACTTCCAGAGAGATTTCTGCGGCCGATGCTAGAAAGCCAATGTACTATGGTGTTTAGCAACTTGGTTGGCCCTCAGGAAGCTAAAATTTTAGGGCACTCGTTGAAGAATATCGTTTTCTGGATACCAAACAGGTAAAAATTTCCTGTTTTTCGTAAAGATAGAGACATAAGAGGCCACAATTCTTATCTCGATATTCGCAGTTATTTTACAATGTACCGAAATAAAATTATTAGTAGTCCTGATTTAGTCTTTTTATGTAATTATTTGTAGGAGCTACACAGGAATCGGATGCTCGTTGTTAACTTATCGGGGTTACTTGCACATGTCTTTGGTTGCTGATAAGGCGTTGGTGCAAAACGACACAGCTCTTACAGAGATATTAGAAAATACAGTGAGCGAAATCGATAATCTTTACGACAAACTGACGTTATCGTTTTTCTCGAAGAAGCTCCGCAGGAGTATACAACACCCATGAAAAAAGGTAATCGTGAAATTATTTTAACCTTTATTCGATTAAATAGTTAATAATCCTTGTTGATGCTTTCAGCAGTCGGCGTGTAGGAAAATTGCGGAGTCCATGTTTTGGAATATCTTCTACGGAAACTTGTGATAAAAGATAATATTTCGTCCCCAACATCTTGTAAATATTTGTTTGTATGCAATCATTCCTTTTAAACCCTTTTTTAAGACGTTGTACACATACATTGTTACATACGTTGAATTAACGATTTCTGAAAAATATATTATCTTGAAAATGTTCCAATGTATTCTAATCGGCATACATTTTCCTATAATATTTTATAAGTTGCATAGGAAGTTGTACAATTCTCAGAGAATACAGAAATATCGAAATAACGAATTCAACGAAACTAGGGAGGTTACAGGTGATCAACGATTCGTCTTCAAAAATAAATAAGGCCAAAATACGATGTCGAAGAGGGTGTTGAAAAACGAGAATTTGGACCTGTGACGACTCGAGTTCTTCGAGGATCCTTTCACCAACGAGCTCGACTTGGATTGAAGAATCACAGGACTCTTCGCTTTCATCCGATTCCTACTCTTCTTTTGATTTTTCGCGTTGTTCCTATCGGACGAGTCATCCATCCCTTCCGAACTCGTGTCGACGTAATTTCGACGCTTTAACGGCCTAGTTATATTAGTACATGTTAATTTAAACTTTAAATCTCTGCAGCAAATTTTAAGATGTTTATAGCGACTATGATACCAACCATTTCGTTTTTCTGCATTCTTCTGGAGACGAACTCTTCGAGTCGCTGTCGTCCTCTTGCCGATTGGTGGAAAGGGGCTCGTGATCGGTACAAGAGTTACAGGGACAAGTCAGTTTCAGATTCTTCAAAATGTTCATCACACGTGGGTCGTCGACGTTGTCGATTGGTGATTCATCTTGATCGCCTTCCGCCTCGTCGTCTGTCTCTGTTTCCGAAGTTTTCCCGTCGTCCCACGCTACCCTGCGCGATACGCGAATAACTATATTTGCTTTTCTATCTGTCTTCGTTTACGCCGCACAGTGGGACAAAATTTCTGTAACTTTAGTTCTACTGGAAATACTTTAATGAAATTTGGAGGATAATAGCTGTACAACACTTTAATATTAAATAATTCTTAAAGCATTATTTATAAATTATGTAGATAATATATATATGTATATATCTAATCTTATCGCAAAATAACTTATAGATGAGATCTTGCGATTAGATAATACATAGGGACCTTTAAACGCACTCCGCTGATTTTATGTAGAAAGCGACGAATACGACTAATTTTTTAAGTGATCGGTAAAGATTAGGTAACAGTAATTACAAGCTGCATCTGATTAACGAAATTTAATGGTTTATTTTCATTAATATTCATATTGTGCAGAACATTTTACAAAAATAGAGATCTCAAACCATGTTTACAGGTTTGCACTTTAATTATACTCGACGAATTAAGGTTTCAACCTAGTATTTCGTCCACTTTTCTTTACCTTTATAATTGAAAATTATTTACAAATAGTATGGGAGCATATCTGAAAAATGTTACACTCACTTAATTTGGATTCATTGTCAATCACCTGATTCTTACGCTCGTCGTGAAATCTGTAAATTTTTCTTAATGCTTCTAATCTACAAGCCATACTGTCTATTAAATTTGTGATTATTCGTGGTTCAATATTGTACCATTCGTGATGTTTTTCCATTTCCAATGTTCTCTATCGCTTCTATCGAATTCAGGAAAATTGTTTTTTTATCACCGCGAGCCGTTTTGTCCCACTGTGCGCTGTTACAACTAACTTTGCATCTTTCTGACACGGTTTCAAACATTCTTCTTTGCAGGTGGCTCGGTTACCGCATTTCTTCGTTGAATCGTTCTCTGGCGTTTCGACGCTAAAAATTGGTCGAGTCGATTCGTCACTGTCTCCATTTATAACGAGAATTAGCTGACTACTACTATAGACGATTACTTTCATAACACATTGTTGACCGGCAATTTTACATAGAAGCGACTTCATGTCACCGGCTATTATTTCATAATTGAATGTGAAATTAAAACAATCTAAATAAACTCCAATAAACTTTATTTATATTTTACCAACATAATGAATTGAAACGAAATATTTTACATACATATCTCTTACAAAATTATAGAATTTTTGTGTATCTTCCTGGGTTTCATAAATTGAAATAGATAATGGAAGTGAAAACACAAGTTTACTCGTGATCGGTTAACAACGTTTGGGCATGAAAACACGAATTAACTTGTGATCGGTCAACAGTGTGTTAACTAACTTGTCGGCGATGCAAGACGTCGTGGGACCTTTCGAACGCGCTGGATCCTTCGCCTTGTCGCTTACGGTTACCTTTTTGGCCTGTGTAATTCGTTGTCAGTCAGAATTCGACTACTATTATTTTTCTCATGGTTTTTATAAGTTCTTAGCTACCGAATGAAACTCGTGAACCGTATGAATCGGAAATGCGAGGATCTTTGCCCGTGGTATTCTGCTGCCCTTGATCTGGAGTACTGGCGACTTTGCAGGACTACTTTCGCAGCTGGATCTCTCATCTTTCGGTTTCTTCTCCGAAGTTTGTTGTGTATCAATGTTCTCTATCGCTTCTATCGCATCGTTGACATTACTGCCATCTCGTGGCTTGTTTTTCTATGTATAATAAATCTTTTACAACATCTTACAAGGGGAGGCCGCGAACTGGTGGTCACCGATTTGAATCAGCTTTTAACACAATATAATACTCTACTGGAGAGTCTTTGAGCAAAGCGACAAGGCGTAATTTTACCAACATATATTTCGTTTCAATTCATTATGTTGGTAAAATATAAATAAAGTTTATTGGAGTTTATTTGGATTGTTCTAATTTCACATTCAATTACGAAAAATTTAATTTCAAATATATAACGTTGTATCGGTGCTTGTATTCTGTTCCGTTAGATTAGTAAAACATAAAATAGCATAATTTTATTCTAAAATCTTTATTATCAAGCGTTACGTCAGTGTGACATTTTTCAGACATGCAGTCATACTGTCGACTGTTCCAAATTACGTCAGTGTGACATTTTTCAGATATGCATCCATACTATTTGTAAATGATTTTCAATCACAACATTCAAACCGGACCAGAGAATCCAATTCAAGCGATCTTATCCGCACACAATTATGATGTCATCTTGTGAACAAAATCTAACGCAGCGGAAGATAAAACATATCGCGTTATCGTTTAACAAAATTGATATCTTCAAGAAAAAGGCGGAAGCGCAATAAAATTTCTATCTCTTAAAGATAGGAAGCATTTTGTACTTTGTAAATTGATATTATGATTAAATAATGCGTTTTATTTGCTTAATTTTGATTATCATTGTTCACGCCATTATGTTTGTAGGGTAAGTAAAGAAAAAGTTTCCTGAAAAATTTTGCAAAATTGCAAAAAAGAATCGTATTCAAGCCCGAAGCGTGCTATGCGCGGCCTTATCTGCACACAATTATGATGTTATCTTGTGAACAAATCTAACTGAACAGAAGATAAGTAGCGAAGTAGCGTTATGTTTTTTTAAATTAATTTTTTCTCAAAAACGCCAAAGTATTGCGGCTCGCTGCTTTGCTCAAAGACTCTCCTAGTAGAGTACTATACTATGTTAAAAAGCTGATTCAAATCGGTGACCACCAGTTCACGGCCTCCCCTTGTTAGTACAATTTATGATACACGAAAAGGAGAAGAGCAAACCTTTAACAAATTCGACGATTCATCGCCGTCGGTTGTGCCATTGTCGATGACGTTCTCTTTTTCACCGGTTTTCTTCTCTTCGTCGGAGATTCCAGGCGACGAGGTTGTATTTTTCGCGCCTTTCGAGTTCTTGCTGTCCGGAGATCGTACTTTCCCTTTTCTTTGGATACTCGACTTCGTCCCGAGTACGCGTGGTCTTGTCTGAAAATTCTTTCTTGACATAAGTCGGCTTCTTACGCGAGTTTTTAGGGCTCTCTTTTTAAGCGAAACTCCACTAACCATCGGGTAGCGGCCGTTCTTCTTGAGTTCGAGAAAATTCGGCAAGTCAGGTTTGCTAATAGCGACATCATATTCGAAAATTATCTCTGGTTTCGGGGCACGTTTCTTCCCGGTGACACGAGGCGTGAAGCTTCTTCTGGTCGTCGATGTTTCCTTTATCTCCCGTTGCGATCTCGCGCTCATCGTTTTCTCGACATGACTAGAATTCCATCTGACGAATATTGCGATATTTTAGATACAAATCAGAGCTTTCCCCTGTTCTATCGCTAGTCGATGTCAACTTAATCTAATCTCTGTCTAATACAGTGCAAATCTGCTTTCGCTCGAAGGCCAACGGCTAGTCGAAACACGCGGAACGCTTTTACAGCGTGATTTTATTTGCGAAATTTAATTTACTTTAATATCATGCAGCACTGATTTCCATATCGAAACCTACACGGAAGCCACCGACTCGCGCGTATTGGGTTCTAACCGCTTTCTTGCGCCTTTGCTTGGCTTCAATTTGTACCAGAGCCTTAGAAACGCCTTCGAGGATTTGCGTTCGATTTTCTTCAACGTCAAGTTTTGCTGGTCGACGGAGGTTACTCGTTCTGCCAGCTTATCGCTCCATTTCGAGGTCGTGTTTCGCGTTTGCGCCGAGGAAGGCGATGTCGTTCGATTAGGTTTACGACGGAACTGCGACTGGAATCGGAACCGAGGTTTCTTGAAATTCGCCAGTATTCCTGTTGGTTGACCTCACATTTTCCAGACGTTCACGAAAACGCGAAACACATCGTTGCGTTCTTCGGCGTTGTTCTTGGTTAAACAAAAGACGCTAGCAGAAGATTTCAATGCCCCTTGGATCGGTTGTTAATAAAGAATCACTTCCCCATTTCTAGTTTAGTGTTTTTTTTTTACAGTACATAACAAAATTTAGATTCTCCATTTCTAGTCTAGTGTTTTTTTTTTTTACGGAGCATAACAAAACTTACGTTAACAAATTTCGTTTTAATTGAAAAGTAAGCAGAAAAATTTACATTTATGAACATTTCTTTGAATCTATACGTATCTAGTTATGACATAGTAGTTGTTAGCGTACAAAGATTTGTATAATAACAAAGGGTTAACGATGAATCGAATCTGAACGTTTTAACACATAATTTTCTCGTTACATTTCATGGAAACACTGTTTTGCTTCGTAAATCGTACATATTTATATACCCTGAATCTACCGTAATAAATCAAACTTGGCACGGGGACCTAATCAACGAGTAATACTGTTCAAAGAATGAAAAATAATTATCTCAAGATGGGCCTGTGCAAGAGAACACGGAAAACGAATCTCGAAATGTTCTCGTAAGCCAAGAACATGAGCGCCGCTGTTAGAACGGTTTGCAGTAACTTGGCTTCCATTCCTTTGTATAACCCTGCTATCCCTTGTTTTCTATAAGGACAACAAATTTATTATTAGCTTACGCCAGTGTGTTACAGCGTTTTTCCTAAGTGTAAGTATACTCACTTCAAAATGTAGAGGAGAATTTCCAGTGTACCAGCATTTGGTGGAAGGGTTGGGTATTTGTGACCATGCTGAAGATGATAATAAACGGTATTACAATTAAATCATTAAAACTCATTTAGGATAAACAATTTATAGAAATAAACAATTATTCCAATTACTATTTTGAGAGACACTGAATGCCTACCCTGAGTTTCGATTGAACCAACTGCAACGGATAAGTGAGCCCAGTGGCGACCGTCTTCGCTATGGCGCCGATAGCGAAGAACATCCACGCAGGAGGTTGCGACCCACCCATGGATGCGCTGATCCGTCTCTTGATGCTCTCGTAAGTCATAAACTGAATTGCTGGGTTCATGACGAGCATCAAACTCGGCAAGGTCCCTGCCCAAAGGTTTCTCAGACCTTCGTATTTCCATATGTGAATAAGGCCATCTGTGAAAAAGCATGCCAGCCTCGCAGCGTGTGATTTTAAAAGGTGGACGGTGTGTGTACCTAACACCGTTAAGACGAGAGAAAACACTCGGTCTTGCGCGTCATGGAATAATTGTCTGCAGAGATTTCTGAAGTATAAGACTCGAACAAGGGACGAGGTTCTCGAGATTGAGCAAGAAAGTAGTAGGCCTTGCTTATACAAACACGCAAGTATGCAATTAATGTTTGCAGCCGTTTAAACGTTAATTAAGTATAAGTCTTAAATTAATAATACCGTTTACAACGTTCAATTTCTAAGCGAAGGACTACACGTACCATACAACGTATTGTATTCGTTATTGTTCCTCTCTGGCGTTTGACCGATGCCTCTCATCTTTAGTCTCGTATTCACCACCCATAACGGTGTGGTCGTGAGAACGTTGATAACACCTTGACAACAAACAATTCGATCGAGTCCACTTTTAAATAATGAAATTGGATAGGAGTGGTGATAAAGTATAAAGAAGGAAACGAGGACCTAAAATTATTTCTTATATCATTAAAATAGGTCTCCCACGGTCGATTCGCTACACTTTATTGGTCGACCCTGATATCTAATCTTCCGTATCAGCGAAAAGGTACCTGCGATCGATGCGACCAACAAATCGTTTCCAGCCGTCTGATTTCTTCTGGTTCTGAGCATTTTCAAGCCATGGAACGTGTAGAAGTAAACGAAATTACTGGCGCATAGGCTTTGGAGGACGGGTACCATCCCTCTATACAAGGTGTACCTTGAAAGAAGATAATCGTTAAACGTTCCTTACGTAAATGGTGAGTTCAAGCGCGGTGCACTTACTGTTTCAAGTAATTTAACACGTTGACTGCCAGAGTGATTCACATGGAAATATCTACAGGGTTAAAATTTTGCCTCGAGACAATTGAAAACTATAGAATCTAACATTTATATTTGTATTCTCATCAAAATTTACAATTTCTTTCCAGATTTGTTTTCGTTAATACTTAGCCCTTAAAATTAATCGTTGAAATTCCTCGGTGAAAAGCTCTGTCACTCGTACGTGGTTTAATTATTACAAAATGCAACGTACGGTCCTTCCTTTTCGGTGAGCTCGCGAATCATTGCGAGTGTATTCTTCGAATCTCGGCCATCTTCGACTATAAAAAAAAGCAGAAAAGCGCGACTGTTATACAATTGACGGTACAGCGAGTGCATTGTAAAAGCGTTTCCGATAGGGCGTAGGAAGCTAAATATAGAACTCGCGAAGCCTGTTAAAATACAAATATAAAAATTCATTATTCTCGTTTCTGTTTAGCCTGTCACCTGTTAAGCGAGTAGAAGACATTACCCACGGTTGGAGGAAGGAACCCCTTGTGCAGCATAATTTGTTATAATATCAGAAACTGATTTAAGTAATTGGTTTTTATGTGCAGGATAGCGTGAAACATTAATTTTTACGCCAATAATTTACGAGAAAAGTGCTAATAATACCGCGTGTACTCCGTATACTAGATAAATACGCGCGTGTCACCGCATTCACGTGACGTGCCGTATACCTAATCGCCCCGCGTATTTGCACTGAGGTAATATGCTTTTTTTCTGGTGATAAACACTTGAATGTACTCCAATCCATCGTTTCGATTACCATTGATTATCGCAAGCATGTCCGTTGTGGTTTAAGATACTACAACAATTTCGTTCACGATAAGTTTTCAAGATATTCAGTTTTGAATAAGATTAGAAAGTTATTTGGAGGAACTGTATCGTTCTTGAACAAATAAAACAAATTTGTCTTCTATATTTCCGAGTAATAATTTAATTAATAAATCGATAAATAACGAACCTTTGAAGGCCTTCATGGGTTGACTCGAAGCTGAAGCTTCGTTAGTTTTATGGCAATCATAAATTATGCATTACGAATAAAATGGCGTATAAATAATTTTAATACACTCACGTTGCAAGCGGCTTCGCACGGTATCCAACGGAAAAAACGTTGCCATTGCAACGACGCTACCCTGTGGAACAATAAACATTATTTATTAATATAGTATTCACGATTCGATTGGTTTCCAATATTTATATAAATCACGTGTACTTACCGCAGCCCCTGATATGGCATGCACCAGCGTTTCGTAAGTAAAAACGCTTCTGTTATACGTTCCGCCTCCCATTGTCCTCAGGTAGTTCAAACTCGGCGATTTGGAAACTTTTTCAATTAATGACTGCAATCACGTTAGTTCACACTCTCGTTGATTCCCATCGCAGAAATTGTGCGACACGTGTTCTTATATTCATCTGTGAACTTTTTTTTATGAGAGCAAATTATCGGTAAAAGAGCAAATGTCATCGTGAGAAAACGAGATATCGTAACTTCATCCAGCATGACGATATAAAAAAATTAATTAATCAATCGGAGTGATCAGGTCTCGATTATAAATTCCGTTCACGGTTGCCTTGGGGCTGTATCAACCCGAACATTGTCGATTAAAATTAGTGTTTCGCGAATTGTAATCTAATTAACGCCACCGAGAAACACGCCGTGCACCGCGAACTAACTATGCAAACAATTCTCATTAACGTCGACAACTGTCGAAGAAAGTTTGAAGACAGTTGCTTAGGAGTTTCTTAGTACTTTAGTTTATTACTTGCTACTTCTATGAAAAATACCAGTATTTTTAAACCAAGCAACGTTCCAAATCTTTATAACTAATATTCCATAGATTTAACGTTAGGTTTCTGCTCTATAAAACAAAAAATAAAAAAGTAAACATTTCCCTCGTTTGTGGTACCAAAACTACAAGTACTTTATTCTCGAAGAAGTTACGGTTAATGAAAACAGTAGACGCTGCATTCTGTGTATACCTCGCGAACACTGTCGACGCTTATTCAGCCGCGCGATGTCCGAGAGAGTGGCACGCCGAGTGATCACGTCCACGCTCGACGAGTAGTACGCTTGCACTGGCGAGGAAAAAATGTTGTAACGTAGTCGAGAAGAGAAATCCACGTGTCGACTCACGTTTAGCGTCGTTACGAGAAGACGGCCTTCGTCAATACACGCGGCTGGCTCGTTTCGCTCATTCCTCTTACGCGGATAGTGCACAACTGAGCATTCCAATCGCGAGCACCGATTGGAATGACGCGTTTCGAGTCGCGGATCGGAAGGCCACAGTTCCACGTCTTAGCTCGTTTTATCGTAACGCAGATGCGACAGATAAAATTACTTCAGCCATGAAGAGCCCCACGGCTGATAATACGCTTGCGCGTGTTCACGCGCTTGCGGTAGCTACAGTATTTCGAGAAGTCGATGGTGGAGCTAGCTCGTATGATTCGCGAGCATGCGCGTCTACGAGTTTCGCAAGCGACTCGACTGCTCTATCATTGCAAATAATTTATAAGAAACGCGGGCGAGTTTGAAAGAGCGTAGGTTAGATTATTACCGTCTTTAATTTCAGTTTGATTGTTGCGACGACTTCGTGTATGAATCAGACGTGAGTTACGCAATGAAACGAGACAATCAGAAACTGTAAAACGTTATATGGCGACGATACAAAGTCACAATATCAAGTTGTACGCGAAATAAAGTTATCACGATAAACAAATAATTTTTACAATTGCTCGTTGGACGCGAGTACAATCTGAATTTGAAGAGACATGTTCAAGTTGTTATGCCTTTTATAAATGTTATAAATGTGTAATGTAGAAGAGTACCGATAACTTTAACATGAATGTTGAATGTTGTACAAATATATATTTCATATTTGCGAAATTTAATTTGCATTTCAGGAAGCATTCGAATGAAACGAACGAACTGATTTAAAGCGTCGATAATTATCCGAAATAGAAACAGAGGATAGAGTACAGACACCGTGGGATATAAATTACCAGCGTAAAATCCCCATCTTCTGCCATGGCTGTAGCAGAGCGACCATAACTCACCCGATTTCCTGACGCATTATTCTGACGCAGAAGCTGGAACCTCCTAACCGGTGCAAAATTTCACAGCTCGTTCGCGGTTATCTCTCGCACGGTTCAAGATATCTCCTATTTATTTTCCCACTGGGAGTTCACGTGCCAGGAGTTCGTTAGGGGCGCAGACCTGCTCTCGAATTTCCACCGTTAAAATGAAATCTACCCCTTACGTTTCACAAACGCGAGCTCCCGTGGTTCATGGTTCCCACAAGCGTTCACCTGTCGATCGCACGAAAAGTGATTCACGCTACGTTTCATTTTTCTTACGTTTTTCTTCAGCCAGCGAGAGTACTTTTTCAAACAAGTGCACGCCGCGAGAACTCCTCACGAGAAATTTTAGACTGCAGCTTGGATTTCTTTACGATGAAAGAGCATAGAAACGGGATGGTTCACGTTCTCCAGAGACAAGGGAAATAATTTTTCTTTTCTCAAGAATTTCAATTAATTCGAGGACTTGTTCGTCCATTAAGTAACTTTTGATGTCACCGTTGATGTGAGTAATGTCACAGTTACACAGTCGTTATTATCTTTATTTGTACGATGAACGTTTAAACATGATGACCACGAGAAGAGTATTTATGGAAATGTTTCGTCGTGTACACAAGGTGTTGCGGAACATCGAAACGAGCTGAAATTTGCAATTCCTCGTGTGACGAGAGAACGATTCGTCCTCGAGACACGAGAAGCAAAGATCTGTTTGTCCACATCCAAGGAGTACAGACTGAACGTCTAGCGGAACGTCGAATTCATTGGATAGTAATTCAAAAATCGTATCGCTATTTCCTTGGTTACCAAGATCGCTCGTAAGTGAAACGTCAAGGGAACAGATTGGCGATAGTGAACGAGATACTTTCCGCAGACGACCCATTCTTCTCGCGATAGATAAGAGAATCGAACATTTCGTTCATCATTTCACGCTAGATAAATTCCATTTACGCGCCAATGGGAGATCGTCGTTTTGAATAATGAAGTTCTTTATTCCACGATTTCGCTAATTCAGATAGGTAAAAGGACCATGTAACGCCCTTAATTAATCAAACGAAAGCACATTTAATTTTCGGAAGCGATACGACAATGTGCTCGAACAAATTTGTGCAGCACACAAAGTCGAATACGTTCGTGGAAAAATTATTGTTGCGTCGATATTTCGTCGGAAGCGATAAAGGAGACACTCGCACGATGTACGAGCTTTGTGGCGTCTCGTCCGAAATTCTCCAGCTTCTTCGCGGAGTTTAATTAAACATTCCCCGCGTTTGGAATTCTGTGGTCACCTCTTCGTCGCCGTACTGAAACTCCTTCTAATGAGTTCCGAGCCTCGATACTTGAGCCGACGCCGCAAAGCCGACGCGTCCACTCTTGGACGTTTTTTGTCAGACCTTGTTTCGTCCACCCCCAACCCTGAAAATTGGAATTTCTTATGTACAACAGCTGTTTCTCTCTTACAAAACTTCCCTGATATCGGCGCCCCGTCTCGCGAAATTACGACAGATGCTGCAAACAGCCTCGTTTATGGAGACGGCTTTGTCCAACTGGATTTCCCTGGACGATTAATTCGCGACGACTACGCGTTCTCGCGTCATAAGATATATTTTCTCCCTTTTTATCAGTTGCAAAGTATTTCTACTTTGCAAATGCAGCCTTCGATTCGATTGCTACGGCAGCACGATACCAAAATATTATTAAAAACAGAAAAAGAATGAGTAGGAAATCTACAGACCAAATAAGAGTATACAACATTTAAAGATATATTTCTTGAGGGGTAATGCATTTTTATTTAAGGCCGACAAAAAATCGCCTCTGTATAGATTCCAAGTGAATCCGTAATGAAAAGAAGGTCAATTAGTTCGCATTATTTTGAATTCATTAAATTCGTTAAAGTGAATTAAAATATTCATCGCCAGCAATCGTAAATAGTATTAACATAAATCGCTATTCATTGTTCTTGCGAGCGTTAAATTGATTAAAATATTTTCGACCTTAAACTTTCGGCCTCTGTCGGCAATAATAAATCAAACGAATAATAAATTTAGTTTTCGTTGACTGAACAAGCAAATTGAAGGTTGCTTTCTTATAATTATTTTTAAAAAGTTCATATTTATTCTGTTGCAACCGATGCCATCGTTTTATTTGAGAGCAGATTCTAATTCCAATGTAAAAAGCGTGTTAGGAAATACGGCAACCAGTTTGCTCGGGAGCGCCAATCGAAGACACCTTTGGAGAAGCGAGTGGCCGTAGACTCGATTTAAATAAATTTCAATCGTAGCTTCCGCAGGTGATTTCCTCTCGGGCAGATCGAATCATCGGTAAAAGCTGTCTAGAGGAAAAATATCGCTGGAGAAACGACGGCTGAAAGGGCGTTGGAGTGTATAAGACATCGACCATCGAATCTACAGGACGATGGAATTCGATTAGCTATCGGATGGCCTTAGAAAGCGTGGCGCGAATACTCTAGAGCTAGTGAAAAGATAATACCAAACACGCGAGCATCTTTTCATCCTTTTCAACTAACTTTCCTCGCACTGCGCGCCTTGGAAAACACAAAATTTAATCTAAATCTATTTAAATAATGTAAATATAACCGTTCGACGTCACCTTAGTTCCTTTCTGTACGAGGATTCAAAACGAGAATTGTCCGAAAGGCCAACGAATAACTAATCCACAATTTACGATACCTACGTGTATTCGAGTAACGCGCAATTCTAGAACGAGGCTACAGCGGTCAGAAAAATTAATTAATGTATTAGTCGAGTAATTGGCCTCACCCTAGGAAAACCTGCGGGGGTTGTTCCGTCCCTAGCCAGCAGCGGAAGAGGTTAATTAATCTGCAGGGAGTACCGTGAAGATGTCTTTTCATTATGCTGCGAGGGCGTTGTCCTGAAAGCGATACCCCCACGCAATTGCATAAATAAAGAGTGGCGATTCAAATTTCACGGCATTTTAAATACCTGACGGTTGCACACCCTTGGAATCGTAATTACGTTGCTCCTGTTACCTCGTTGAACGTCGTCGTGCGAAGAATTTCCCGGTTCCCAAGAATCTTCATCGTTAGTATTCCAATCGCAGAGCTGTTAATTTCTTTTCAACGAAGTGCCAACGAAAATCCAATAATCTGTTTTCTAATAATGAAACGAGACTGTAATTATGGTATCTTACGAGATGCTCGGCGATAACTGGTACGTTGACAATGAAAGAACGCCGGAATCGTTTACGCAATTTATTACAAGACAAACGGAACGTTTTTGGTCCGAAAATTAGGGGTGAGGTTTTACGAGAAGAGCTCGTTTTTCGTACGTATTGTTTCCATGCGCTTTGATTATTACAGTAACGATTACTTAACCTTAACTAGCACATATGCGCGGTGATGCGACAACACTATTCGAAGCCCTTACTGTTTGTCACAGAAGCAGCCTTCTTATCCGAACGAATCGAATATAGTTCGAAAATTAGCAGCTCTTTGGTAGCTTATCGAATTCATCATGTCTATTATTGTCTAAAGTCGAAACGAAGAAATTATTTACCTAATTTTTCACTCGATCACTCGTAAGCTGAAATTATTTATTCCTGGCGCTGACGCTACAATTGTTAATTCCTCGTTACAAATTAATACTAAACGAAATTTGAATTTTCGAGTTTAAAATAAGCTTCCGAAACTCCCAATTTCGAACAGATATTCGACATGACTCGAAGCTTAGCGATGATCGATGGACGCATCGGATGTTCGTACATATATGGTCGAAACAATGGCGTACTTTCCCGTTCCATATGAATAAATTAATTATATACATGTATACGGTATTTGGTTCGTATCGGCTGGACACGATTATGCTTACACAGAATCGAAGTTTCACGACCAGTCGACCATTCTGGCGACCATCGTAGAGCGTACAGTTGTGCTGATCTCAAACATCAATTTTATACACCTCGAATAATGAGCGATATTTAAAACAAAAATAAAATACAAGACTTCGATTTCCGTACTTTAAATGGAAACTAAACTAAGCGAAACTAATCTGGTTTTTAATACGAAACCGAAAACTGTTCTATGTCATTTTTATTCCAATATTTGTACAGATAACGAGGTGAGCTGATCGAAGGCAGGTAGAATTAAATTCACGTAATGGAGGATTGATAATAAAATAGCGATATCTGGCTGGAGTCAAGTTTCCTTTGGTACAATTGAACGTCAACGGTGCTTCTGCTGAGAAGATTTAATTAAAAGAAATGTGTAACACTATCTCATCTTCGGGTACAAACGGTCGACTGTTCCGACGGCTCTCCAAGAGCC